GATGTAGTTTTGGAAATAATGCCTAATTCTTGTTTCCGTTTAATAAATAGTATCTACTTATTGGTACAGTTTCATAAATAGTGTCTACTTAGTGGTCTAGTTTCATGAATACTATATACTTATTGGTCAAGTTTTGTAAATTGTGTTTAATTCTTGGTTCAGTTCTATTTGAAACTTAGACCCTTTTTGGTTTTGTAAAAGCACCAATTGCGTTGAAAACGATGAACCCAGAAGTGACCATTTGGATCAAAACGTTGAGAAGATTATGTTCTCAATAATTATATTTAAAAAGTTGTTTTCAATTACCAAATTAAAATTTCCTCACATTTTTTACATACCTACAATAATAAATGTCGCTCTCCATCCAATTTCTTGAGCTTGGGTGTCATCTTGGAGAATTTTTTTCTTTGTGCCTGTGACACAAGTGGTACACCACGTGTTATTATGCAAGTGATGGAAAATTTTATTTTTTTATGTTATTAATTTTGTAACACAAGAATCTCACAACTTGTATAGAGATATGTGGTGTACCACCCCATGTTCCAAGCATATTGAAAAATCTCTTGTCATCATGACTACTATTGGGAAACAACACTACAAAAATAAAATTGGGGAATGTAATTCAATTTGAAGTCTTTTTCTTATTCTAAGCATAAAAAAGAAAAAAGAAAGAAAGAAATCTATTAATGTAGCTGGCAATGGAAGAAAATAGTGGAGTGTGGAAAGAGGGGGGGGGGGTGGACGCGCCCAGCGCAAGTTGGGTTTTTTATGGTTTTTTTTTATAGTTTTTATTCTTTTGTTCTTATTATTAAATAAAGCTAGTGGATGATTTTTGATTAAAATGTAAAGATTTGAAGCCATTTTTATTAGTTTTTCTTTTTTTTTTATCAAACACATTTGATGTTCTAAATTTTTGTAATAAATTGCTTTTTTAAAAAGTACCACAATCCCAAACCAGCCCTCATACTCTCAATAGATACACTTAATGGTTCTTAGTAATAGTTTTGCATGTACAAAGTCAATTTTCATATGAATAGTTTTGCATGCGTCTGATATTTTTGTAAACCAGACGCATGCAAAACTATTCATATTAAAATTACAACCAAAACAATTTATACATGCATATGTAAATAGCCAAGTATAAAGCCTTTACTATTGATTATAATTTGGAGACAAATAGGATAAAGGGGATGTATAAAGTTAGAGGGAAGGTGCGCGCGAGATAGGATTTGATCGATCCTTGGCTAAAGTACGACCCCATTGGGGCATTGACATGTTCATCTTTTAATCGGTGGATAATTGATTGACATCATCGAGGAAAATGACAAAGGATTAGAGGAAGTTTAATTTTTAGTGTTGAGAGAAGTTATCCTAAAAGAAGAGATAGAGCTTCGGATAAGGCATTGCATGACCTATTGGTCGAGTTGTCACTTGTCAATGATGCATATCTTTTGGACTTGCCATTAACATTTTCATAATCCGCGCTTACTTTGATCATGACTTTTTTTTAAGTAAAGATCAACCCAAATGTGATGATCTCATACGCATGTTAATTGGTTTTCCAGTCACCTTACTCTAAACCAGTGGCGGATGGACTAAGGGGTTAGAGGGTCAGCTGAACTCCCCCCCCCTCCGGGCCCCGTGCGGGTGAACTTCAGTGAATGTCCATGGAGAATTTGGGTGTTGCCTTTTTGAAGATTGGAGTTGACTTCATACAAACTCTCCGGCTGTTTGATAAAATACCTAAAAGAAGAGTGATTACCTAACCAAGACGACGTCATTTTAGGCCAAGTTAGTTTAATAAAATAAAAACACCAACAGCCAAAAAAATAATAATAATCATGTGTATTTGCTAATTACATTGCTTTAGTTTTACCGGTTGCTACTACTTCAGTGGCGAGAGCCATTTCCGCTATGAAAATTGTGAAGAGTCCATTGCGTAACCGAATATGAGATCAATGATTGAGTGATAGCATAATGGTTTATATTAAAAGCAATGTTTTTTCTTCCGTTGATAATGAAGCTATAATGATATGTTTTCATGAAAACTTATCATTGACTATTGCAACTTGTATTATTATTTGTTCTATAAGTTATGAATAATGAAACTATGGTTTAAAATTATTATGTGTCTAAAAAATGTTTGTGAACTTTAACATGTGACCCTCCAAATAATTTTTCTTGGATCCACCACTGCTCTAAACTGCTAGGAGATTAAAGTTTATACATGATTCTGTGGAGTAGCTTGCAATTGGTTGGTATAATAAATTGCTTATTAGAAGGGATGTTTAGTAATTCGTGTCTAGCTAGAAGACCCAAAGATTGTTCGAACAACCTTAATTAATAACGAGGCAGCCTTATTTCAATACAACACTTTATTTGTTTGGTAATTTTGAGATGCGTCCTTCCCCTCCCTCATTTGTTTGTTTGTTTATGCTACTATATTGTTAGTCTCAAGAAACCCTGAAATTGCTCTTCTCCGAGAATTTGGTGGGGCTTGGACTCTTTGATAGACCAAGATTTAGGTAAAGTCTGGCTATTGACAATTTTTATTTTTATTTTTTATGAGCGATATGTAAAAATTAAAAATGGGCTAAGACTCCCTATATAAGGTCATCTTCAACCGAATGAGGGTTAGATGACTCTCTTTAGCCCTATAGCTACCATCTCCAACCAAGATGGCCAAAGGACCATAAGCCAAACATAGCCCGTGACAAAAAACCATTTCCAACCGAGGAGGCCAAGGGTCATAGACCAAACATAATTTATTATTATAATTTAAAGACTACAACAACTTAAATTTAAAAACTACAACTTAAATATTAAAGACTATAACAACTTAAATTTAAAGGCTTAGGTATTTATGAGAAATGACTGGCTGGCTCCTTTGGGCCAGCCTTGGCCTGATTTGGTGGTTTTGGTTCAGTGGGGCCCACGAGCTCTTTGGCCTAGCCCTCGGTTGGAGATGGTTTTTGTGTCATTTCGAGCTATTTTTAGCTCTATAGCCCTTTAGTCGGGTTAGTTGGAGATGACCTAAGTTCTCAAAGAGACTTGCAGTATATCCTGATCCTGAGACAAGGTAGCCTCCCCTCCCTTAAATTTTTCTTGACAAAGCACAATTAAACTGATGGAATATAGTGATTAAATGCCACAATTTAGGGGTATTTTACTCCAATTATAAGTAGAAGAGACCTGGATTGATTTTTTTTACATGATGAACTCGTTATTTAATTCCACAAAAGAAATATATTTTTTTATCAGATTACTATAGCTAACATAATGTATGATTTGTACTTAAAAAAGCGTAATGTATGATTTATCTTAAATCTTTCACTACTTAATATAAATATATAATGTTGTAATTGGTATTAGAAGAAACCGTTGGAATAGTAAGTGGCCAAGCTACTTAGTATTACGGTTTAGTAGTATACCTCTTCATTCTTGTAAGTAAGAAGTCTTACGTTCGATTCTCGTCAAAAAAAAATTTTAACAAATGATATTTAATCCAATTAAATAACTTAAAGAAGATATGCATATAGTGAGTCATGACTCATGAGTGAGAGCTACTTATTTGTGTGTATATGCTAGTGCATGACTTACTAAATCCAAAGCATCTCAGTCGACCAAACCCAAAGCATCTCAGTCGACTTCTCCTCCAAAAAGTAAAAGCGAAACAATGGCTTGTGGATCCCATCCCATATGGCTTTGCCTGCCCGGCTGCTTCACCATGCCGCCATGTTAATGACTATGAACTTGGCTACTTATGCATCACGAACAAAAATAGTTTAAGCATTAATTATTATTATTTTCAATAATTCTTCCGAACTGGTATTGTCTCTTTTAACAAACAATAAGATTATTACAATCTAAACTACAAAGAGGAAGATCTGAACTTGGACGCCAATGGTAACAAACAATGCTCCAACCAACTTAATTAAATTCGTGTAGAAAGATGGAGATTTGAACTTGGACACCAAAGATAAAAAACAACGCTCTAACCAACTTGATTAAATTCGTGTTAACATCTGAAGCGGTACTTAAAAAGTTAAACAAGGTATAAAATTCCAGATACAGTCTTGAAAGGGTTAAACGTATGAATTTCAGGTAGAGTCGTTATCAAAATATGTACTTTTTGGTTGGAATCAAGATAAAGTTTGTGCAAAAATATCTAATTCTTTTGTTCACACATACGATAATTCATTTCCTGATTTTGCAATTAGCTAGCTAGTGGCCATGATTTGAACTTTCGCTTTCCCAGTAATAGCGTATAGTCTAGTAATACTGGTCTATGTTCACATACGAGGTAACAAAAGCGAGATATAGAATGTTCACAGTCCATACAAACAGAAGTAAGATGGAAAAGAGAAAATAAAAGCACAAGGAAAAGAGAGAGAAAAGAAAAATGAGAACTTAGTTTTGAAATAAATTGAAGAAAGTTGATTAATTCATCATAAAACTAATTGGTTATATGAGATTTAACCCAATGACTTATAAGCATATGTAATATCCCTTTTTTCGTCTATGTGAGAAACATTCTCAACACACTTCTCACTTGTGGCAAATATTCAAGTTAAATACGTGAAAAACACAAACGGTGCGACGAGGAGCACGTGTGGCCATTAAGCTTCATCCGTAGAACAACCTATTCTGATATTAGAAAGAAAGTTAAGATTCTACCATCAAACTAATTGAAAATATAAGAAGTAGCTTAACCAACTTACTTATAAGCTTATAAAGACTGGAAGTCTCTCCTCTTATCAATGTAATATTCATGGGTAAGTAAGTAGACTTCTACTCAAGTTTAAACTCACAAAAGAGACTAAGAGAGTAGTTTAGAAATGTCTTTCGGAGAAAAATAAACATAAGGTTTACAGTTTACTCCGGGGGGTATGGGAATCTAAGTGCCGACGTAAGCTGACCAACCAAATCAATTCTAGTTGGCTCCACTTACCCTGTCCCTTCCCTTTGAAGACTCCAAGTCTATAAATTTAAGCCAGAGGGTACCATACATAGGCTTGAGCACACAACTCCAACCCCATCTTCAACTCCTCATCTCCTAGTTACTAGTCAAAGCAAAACCCTAGTAAGCATGGCCGAACCCTCGCCTGACCTCACCAAGGTCATCAACATCAAGTTACTCTGCAGCCACGGCGGCAAAATCCTCCCCCGTTACCCCGACGGCAAGCTCCGTTACCTCGGCGGGGAAACCCGTGTCCTTGCCGTTCCCCGCTCTATTTCCTTTTCCGGTCAGTTTGTATATAAATTCCCCCATTTTTTGTAGTCTTTTGTTTGGACTTGGAGGATGTTTTATTGAATTTAGCTGCACCGTTGTGTAACAGAACTGTCGTCCAAGCTGACTGAGTTGTGTGGGCCATCCGTGACGGCCGTCAGTCTGCGCTGTCAACTGCCCACCGAGGATCTCGACGCCCTCGTATCCATCAAGTCCGATGAGGATCTCGTTAATCTCATTGAGGAATACGACAGAGCAGCCTCTTCCGCTAATCTGAAGATCAGAGCCTTCCTCTCACTCATCCCCACCGGCAGGACACCCAAAAGCATTTCATCCCCTTCTTCCTCCTCGGCCTCTGCCGCCTCCACGACTTCGTCCTCCGGCACCTCCTCGTCGTCAAATAACTACTTCGGCGCCGCTTCCGGTTCCACCCCAAGATTCCCCTTGCCGTCTTCCACCCTAGTTGATCGTTGCCTTCGTCAAATGCCGCTGCAGCCATCCCCGTCGACGGTGCCGTTTCAGAGACCCCCCTCCAAGGTTCCTCACTGTGCTAATATTTACCATGCTCGTCACGGCCACAGAAACAACAACCCTACTGGTACTACCGGTAGTCGTCTCTACCTGGTTCACAACGGCAATCACTGGCAATAACATCGTTTGCCACACGGTCGGAGTTCCGGACTACAAAATTACAAATATGCCACGGCCGATTAAAACAAGTTAATACTACAAACCCTAAAATTAAAAAAACACAACAAATATCAGTTATATAGTATATCTGATCAGTTATGTAATGGGAAATATGGAGCTGTAATCGTTCATCAGGTGGATTGCTATTGAATATCAGTGGCGATTAATGAATTTCAGTCCTAATTCGTTTTTTCAATGTGCATACATATAAAGACATGGTGAGTGCTTTTTTTTGCAATCCTTCCCTGTCTCTCTCATTTTCCCTTTTTTTTTTTTTTTTTTTTTTTGTTGTTGTTGTTGCAGTCTGTCCATAGCCATTGTTTCTGCACTAGGGCAGTAGAGCTTTTTCCATGTCTGTTTTCCGTTAGCGTCCCGTTAAACGCTGTTGGGCGTTGTGCGTTGCACTGTCAGTAAGCGCATAACATCTGTTAGGTTTCTGTCAGATTCCCTGTACTGCGTGAGACGTGGCATTTGGTGTGATCAGAGTGTCTGCCGTGTTTGTTATGTGTCACTCTGTTATGCGTTATGCCTTTACGTGGGATAAACAAACCTCATCCCATCTGACATTCTGACTCATGTCTCTTCGTTCGTCGTAAATTCCACTTCTTTTGTACCTCTTATTTTTTCCTTTTTCCAAGAGTAGCTTATTAATCGAGTGTATTTAATCAATATTGTTAACATTGTAGACGTACCTCAGGTTTGTGAAGAGAGTAAAATGAAACAAGCAGGATGATGATCTGGAAGGCCGCAGAGAGAGATCAACTTCTGAGAGTATATCTAGAACTGATGAACTAGCAGCATGGAAGTACCATTAATTCATTCCTCATGAATTAATTGTGTTAGTTTAGGTCTAGGGCAATTGCATTTGCAGAAGTGAAGGTATTAGCTTTTGGTTATTTATCTTCAAACTTCAATCCTTTATGCACTAAATAGATTTTCTCGAAAATTTTTATGGTGTTCCGCCATTTGGGATCTTCTCATATATGCATGATCATTAAGAAACACATGGCTAGCTTCAACAATGACCAATGAGCTATGTACGCGCCGTCTTTTATTTTTAATTATTTTTTTGTTACATTCGTGGGATTCTAACCACCCCTAGCCTATTTATCCACCGCCTTATTTACACTCACCACTAAACTAAATTGGGTAACTCATTTGAAAGATGAGAATGTTAGACCCTCTTGGTGACACTCTCTTGCACGTGTAAGGTCTTACGTTACAATATTAAGACTATCATGATATTTAGACACAATAATTAACAAGTTTTAGAAAATTAGTTATTTATTTTATTATTTGGGTTTGGGCCTAGCTTATTTGGATTAGGGTTTCTTAAGTTCTGCTTTCTATAAATATAACTTGTAGTTTAGTACGAGAATTAAGTCAGTCAAGCTGTAGCAATTTGTAGTTGTCTGATCATCAATCTCATTTATTTGTTTTCCGTTTAATAAAACAATGTTCATAGTTTATCTTGCGTTTGTTCGATCGTTATGAGTACTCTAATTTTCAACTTGTAGGTCCTATGATTGTATGTAAGACCTACATGTATAAGAAAATGTTAGCAATTATGAATGCGCCGTTTGTGTTTTAAATAGCATTACCCACGTAAGACCTATTTTTATCAAAATCTGTCAATAAGTGTTTCAGTTTTGTGGGTATTACGATTAAGGAAGTAGCACTCTTGCTACGTTCTTACCTGCCCATATTTTTAGAACTTAAAATCAGGATATTTATTACATTCTCACTTCTTGGCTTCCTTCGTCGTCGTCGGCATTTCTAATTTCAGATATCAATATGCTTTGACATTTTAACCTTTATGAAAAATGGAGTTTTATGATGGTTACACATATTGTCCATACATGCATGATCTTCATGACATAAAAATTTCTTGACCAAATTCGATGTATGGCTTGCTGCGATCGGATGGTAGGGATGGGAAGGCATTTTTAACCCTTACGAAAAATGGAGTTTTATGATGGTTATAACGTAGTCCATACATGCATGATCGCCATGACAAAAGTAAGTTCTTGGCTATATTCGATCTGTGGCTTGCTGCGATTGGATGCTACAGGGATGGGAAGGCAGTAGGAGTACTGGAGAATTTAAGAGATCAGATGGATGATGCATGGTGATTTCATATCAAATCAAATCAAATAAACATATATGAATCCAACATCCAATAGTGATATAATTTGGAAGCATCGGGGGATCATACATTATATTCATTTAGGTATCGAATCACAACTGGACAATGAACTTATCTATATATTAATACCTACATATTTATTGAATGTGAAATAAAATGGGACTAAACCATAAAAAATAGGGATAGTTTAGTTGCGGTCTTTGGTCCCTAATTATTATAGACTCAAACCTTATGCATTTTATACTTTTGATTGAAGTCCCTCTCCTATTACATAAATGACATAATAATAAAAGAGATGCAATAATATCAATAAAGACTCAACCGTTTTTTTTTTTAAACTTTCATTTACACTACCAATTTAATTATTCAAAATTGCTTATGGTTTTTGATAAAAACAAAAAATAATAATAATTGCTTATGGGTGCATTCTAGATTATATATATAAAAAAGGGGTTTTATTTTATTTATTTTATTTTTATAAAATGAGTACATTTATATAATAAAATTTGACTACATTTTATATATAAAAAATTGGTACATTTACATAAAAACATGGGTACACTTTATATTTAAAAAAAAAACAATGGTACATTTTAGATTAAAAAATAAATAGATTTTACATTAAAAAATGGTACTTACCAAAAAAAAAATAAGGATACATTTTACATATACCAAAGTGGTACATTTGTAAAAAATGGGTACATTATAAATATATTATGGGTACAAATAAAAGGTTAAAAAATTATGAGTACAAATAAAAGTTTAAAAAATAAGGGACAAAAAGAAATTAATATATGGATACAAATTAAAATTTAAAAGAAAATTGGTACAATTTAAAAAATGGTTGCAAATTAAAAATGGGTACAAACTAGAAATAGAAATATATGATAAAAAGTTTAGCCATAAATATAATATATCAAATGTAACGTTTCTAACACTAAATGAATATATTTAAAAATGAAACTTAATTATCTTGACATGTAAATATTTTATTTTTGAATAATTAATGTCGTTTATTAAAATCGAATGACCTTGATCAAAATTTAGAAAAGAATAAAGTTTTAATCAATGGAGTAGAAAAAATAAGAATGTAAACCTAATGTCTCCAAATATATATTTGTTCCATACATGCCAGCTGGAGATTGTAACATAGCTACACTGGTTCATGAAGCTGCACGTAATTAGTTTAAATCCAGTATTTTAAAACTATATATATACTACAAGAAAAAGGATGACAGATGATGGAGATGGAGACATTCTCTTTGAAAAGGGAAAAAAAAAAATATATTGATAAAGAAGGCCCTCCCTAATTCACTCCACTCGCGTAGCATTCAGGGGATGAGATTCGCCGGCCCCACTCACAAAAAAAACACAAAAATATTATGAAGTTCCATTAATTCTATACCTGGAGAATTTTGAGAATATAAGATTTGAAGAATGTAATTATATATCGAAAGTTTGACAAAATAATTTATAGCGAATGACTACATTGTAATTATACCAATATTTTTGTAATAAAATACAACGTTTGTTAAGTTATGTAGATAGTTAAGTTGTAATAACATCGATTTGATTAGTATTAATCGGATGGCCGACTCTGAAACATTCTTGACATAAAGATAACCAGTGAACTAATATTTATTTAGTTGTTGTTTAGGAATAGGAGCAACACGATTGATTTATCTTGGGAATAGGAACAACACGATTGATTTATCTTGGGAATAGGAACAACACGATTGATTTATCTTCAGATCATTGATCCTCAGATCTTCACAAAGAGGATCTGGAGATCATCGTCTGTTATCTTGAATATCTTGTGGATAAATTAATCAGAGCGATATTATCGTTAAGTTAGAAATTTAACATGCCATTGGCAGGGTTCGAACCCACGCCGTCATGCAAGGGTGTCACTCATCTTCATAACTGTGGTAGAGGACCACCTGCAAATCCGTCCTTGTTAAAAAGTAGAAATGTGGCAGTAGAGAGTAGAGACCATCATTATTGAATCAACTTTTTTTTTTTTTTTTTGAATAAATGATATTACTTACATCGAGGGAGAGGGTGAGCTTAGCCTCATAATGTGTTAGCAATAATATGGTTCAAATTCGCTTTTAGTGTGAAATCGAACCTACGACCTCTCACTTACAAATAAATAGAAATACTACTAAACCATAGTAGTAAGTGGCTATTGAATCAACTTTTGACAAAGAGAGGGGGGGGGTGCAGAAAAAGTGGTAATGTATTGTGTTGGATCCCGAGGACAACACCTGCGAGCTCTGGTTGATCCGTGTTTCGGAATCTGCATTCTGAAATGTATGTAATTGTAATGTTTCTTGTAAAAAAAATTATTTTTAACTAAAATGATTTCTGAGATTGACATAATTCTTTATTTTGGATCCTGAGATTTGAAATCGATAGATTGATCTTGAGTTTGTCAATCATTAATTATTTTAGTCATTCCATAACAAATCTCCATTAACTAATAATAAAACGAAAAAAATACTCTCAATTTTTGTCAAAACATTTTGTCCCATTATTTATTAAATTGAAGGTATTTTTGTCATTTTAATTCTTATTTAATAGAATTTTTCACGGAATGCCCAAAATGATTGATGATGAACAAACTCATAAACCACTTCTATTGATTTCAAATATTAGAGACCAAAGTGAGGAATTATGTCAATCCCGGATACCATTTTGGCTAAAAAGTCTAAAAAAATAAAGGTAATTCTCCTTTTACTACTCTTAAGTATCATGAAATTTACACTTTTAAATATGAAGTTTTTTTGGTCCCATTTTCATACCTAAAGTTAAGTTTTTCTCCCAGATTCATAAATCCGTTAGATTGGTCGTCAGGAGCTCCATTAAAGAGTGAAGTGACGCCCACGTGGATGATGATTATGCAGTAGCACTGTGACACCATGTGGACGATATCTGTGCAGAATTTTCTTTTTGAAAAAATAAAATAAAAAACAATTATCGTCTTGGGATGGGGCATGCCCAAAAATTTGAAGTTTCTTCCCTTAGTAACCCACCTCCAAAGCAGAAGAGATTTTTCAGTGTGCTAAAAACACGAACATATACGCTATATA